CAGCAAGCGACCTGACACCTTTGCGGGAGGGTGGGTGGGTGACCCCGCTGATGTTACGCCAGTCAGTTGTCTGAGCTGTCATTCATTCAACAAACTTTTCGGGAGCACTTAGTGCCAGACAGGGTGGGAAGTCGGGAGATGGACAAGGCACTTTGGGGCTGGGTGACACAGTCTGTGCCTCCTTGTTTTGAGAAATGCAGACAGGTGGGGTACACCAGCACAGGGCCTGCCACGGAGGAGTGGTTAGGAAAGCCGAGCAGATGAATGAACGGGCTCACGGGGTGATGAGAATGGCAGCAGGACGCCAGAGGGAGACGGTGCGCCGCGCGTGATCATGCTGGATGTGTTTTAAGACCCATTGGAAATCCGAATGGAGAGTCGTTTAGGAAGAGTGTTCGCTCATAAAGAGGAACTTGCTTAAAAGGGGAATGAAATGGAAAAGTACTAAGTTTGAGATTATTCAGAGATTTTTTTTTTTTTTTGGAGAGGTTTTTTGCTATAGAAGCATGCGCTTGCCAGACAGAGACAGAAAGCGAGAATCACCCCCCCAGGGGGATGGCCACGCCCCAGTCCCTTCTCCTCTGTTCTCCTCTCGGGATCTTGGGCACGCACACGCAGCGCCCGGCGTGAGTTTTAAGCCACTGCGTCCGGGATGCGAACCGTAGTCGGCTACATGGGAGTCCAGCGACATAGCCATTTACGCTAACTGCTGGTCCTGTCAGGGATGCTTGTTTTAGCAACTTTCCTGTTTTAGAATCACTTGGTATGATCTCAGAGTTTGCAAAAAGGGAAGCTTTTCTAGGTAATGAAATGCCAAAACTGATAGGTAAAAATGCCAGGAAGCTCTCCTAAGACCAGTATTTGCACAGAGACCGTAGACCTAGCTGCAGTGTGTTCTTTCAACTAGAAAGAGCCCAGACTTTGAAGGTGGAGAGGCTTGGGTTCCAAATCAGTGGCTTTATTGCTTCTGGTGATCTTGAACAGGTTAACATCAAGTATCTGCCTTTGTGGCCTTAGAAAAACTCCAGGTTCCCGATTCCCACACCATTGAGGCATCGTGAGGCTCGGGGTGATGGTGTGTTCGTTGTCCAGCCTTGGGTGCAGTGCTAAGAGAAGGGACCGGAGAGGATCCTGGAGCTGCTGCAGGTGTTTTGTTTTTGTTTCTTCCTCATGGTGGTCCGTTGTAATCTTAGTTCCACAAAGTACTGCGATTCCTCCAAAAAGAATTGGAGCCAAAGAGCGACCCGGGGGAGAGACATCCTACCCATGGTCAGGCTCAGCTGCGCTCTTTGGAAGAGATAGCAGGGCTGGAAAAACAGCGGCATACACAGAACAATCTTTTTTTTCTTTCTTTCTTTTTCTTTTTTTTTTGAGAGTTTTTTGCTATAGGGCGTGTGTGCTCGCCAGGAAGACAGAGACAGAGACAGAAAGCGAGAAATCACCCCCCGGGGGGGATGGCCACGCCGCCATCCGTTCTCCATTCTCCTCTCAGGACCTTGGGCACGCACGCACGCACACACACACACATCCAGCGTGAGTTTAAGCCACCGTGTCCAGGACTCGAACCATGATCGACTACATGGGAGTCCAGCGACATAGCCATTATGCCAACTGCTGGTCCCACACAGAACGATCTTGTAGTTGAGGCTTTGGGGCAAGTTCCTTAACCCTCTGAGAACGCCTTCTACCTTGCAGGGTGGATGTGGGGGTTGAGGGGATCGTGTGCACGGAGGGCCTCACCTAGGCCCAGCCTGCATGAAGGGGCCTAGTGCCCGCAGCTGTCACGTGACTGTGAGTGACCTCTCCCAATCGTTAATAGGGTCAGTGGCAGTAGAGTTACCCAACTTTAGTGTTTTTACATTACTTTGATATTCTACTTCATTTCAGCAGGCAATTCCCTGGAGGTAATTCCACTTTTTATTTTTATTTTATTTTTCCTGACGTGGCTTGTACAGTAGTTCTCAGAGAATTGTGACGTTTAGGGTATTCAAAGTATGTATAATGGTCTGTGATATCTTCAGAAGCTTATTATGCAAATATGAGGGCATGGGTCAGGTTAAAGAGTATATTTTGAAAGAGGTTTTGCCAGCAGATTTCTAAAGTATGGCTTTGTTCCAGGGACCAGCAGATGGCGTAATGGTTATGTCGCTGGACTCTCATAGTCGACTGTGGTTTGAGTCCCACCCCTGGCAGTTTAAAACTCAGGTGGGGCGTGAGTGCGTGCGTGCCCAAGATCCCCAGAGGAGAATGGAGGAGAAGGGATTGCGGTGTGGCCATCCCCCTGGGAGATGATTTCTCGCTTTCTGTCTTTCTCTCTCTCTGTCTCTCTGGTGAGCGCACGCACCCTTTAGCAAAAATCTCTCTCTAAAAAAAAAAAAACAAACCTAAGTTCAAATAGTATAAAACTATTATCTAGCTGACTAAAAATAGCTAGATAGGCTTATGCCTTCTTTTTTTTTTTTTAAGTTAAAAATTCTTTAATTTTTAATTCCTGGTACCACTACCACAATTCACAGGGCAATATACCTGATGTAATGAAAAGAAAAGGAAAAAGACAAAGCTACAACAGATAAAAGCCCTCAGGAATGTACATCTAATTGACACTCCATGGCATTAATCAATAGCTGCACTTTTTGCAAACTGTGGCTCTGACAGATCTGAACAAGAAGGCTTTCCTGTGTAAGCTGCAGTAACTTTTCTGACTATGGGTCATCGTTCCTCCTGTGGCAGATTTTTGCAGTTCCCTCTAATGCATTTGGGACGGCTGTCTGTCTCTAAGTAACCTGCAGCTTTCCTGACAACTCCTCGCTCTCTCTCCTGCTGAGAACTGTAGCCCCTTTTTGCTGTTTTTAGAACCTCCTGCTACCATATCCACCACTTCCACCGCCAGATCCATAACCACCACCGTAAGGGCTTCCCAAGCTCTTCCACCACAACTGCCCCCTTTCATGGGTCCATAATTTGATTGCTGTTGGCCACTATAATTTCCACAATCATAGTTTCCACCACCACCGTAGTTCCCACTGCCACAATTTCCTCCTTCATTGTAACCATCATATCCTCCACCACCACCACATCCACCACCTTGGTTTCCGTATCCTGGCCCACCACCACCACAGCCACCTCTACTGCTGTAACCAGGACCACCACCACAGCCTCCGCTTCCACCAGTGTCCACCCACCAAAATGACTTCCACCACCACAGCCTCCGCTTCCACCAGTGTCCACCCACCAAAATGACCTCCACCACCTCCACCACCACAGCCTCCGCTTCCACCAGTGTCCACCCATCAAAATGACCTCCACCACCTCCACCACCACAGCCA